AAAAAAAAAAAAAAAATCGGGAAGAATTATGATTACGAATTAAAACAAATCAAAATGTAAACAAATGTTTCTAAAATTATAAAATATCATATTTACTTAATCCTTAGTTGGTAAAAATTAAAATAAAAATTTTAATATAAGTTAAACTGTTAAAGTCAACAATTAATTTTGACCATATATTTTATGAGATCGACAACTTTCCAACATCATATTTCATCAATTTTTATCAAAATCTACCAAAAATCTAATTTTAATCCCTATTAAACAGAGGTTTAACATTTTTTTATAATTAGTCAATTATGCAATATTCAAGTTTTCGAAATACAAAAGTTAAGACATTTGTTTGTAGTTTCAACTTTCAACTTGACAAGTTTTATTTAATAGATTTATATGAAATTCATACATACTTTCGAAATTTTCAACAAAATGATAAATCTCGAAATTATAATTACATAATGTAGATAGAACCGTAACTTAAATCTTACCTAACTTTTTATCCAATCCAATTCAATATCATCTTCATCATCTAATTCGCATTCTATGTTGTCCAATACAAAAAATAAGGAAAAAAATTAATAAAATGCGACTATACACTCTAGTCGCACATTAAGCGATCAACTTAACAATTGACCTCTTAATTATGGGCCCACTACAAAGCATGGTGTTTTGCCCACATCTAAAGTCGATTTTTAGAACATTGCCATTTTTACATATTTCAATAAGGGCATGTTTGAAATAGATTTTTTTTTTTGTGAAAAGTGATAATATTGAGCCTATTTTTGAGCTCCATTTTTTCAGAACTCATATGTTTAAAATTTATTTTCAACCACATAGTTTTCCATAAAATGAATTTAAAAGTAAACCTATATTTTTACATTTTCCAAGAAATCACTATTTTAAAATCTATTTCCCCATAAAATGTAGCTCAAACAGGGCCTGAAAAATATATTGTTAAAAAGAAAAAAAAATTATGAATCAACATACAAAACTATTTTATTGAAAAAATGTACTATTAAAATGAATTTAAAAAATAAGTTTTTTAAGAAAATTTGTACCAAATAGGGGTTAAGTGTTTGTTTGGTAGGAGTTTTGAAAAATTAAAAACTATTTATGAGATTAAGGAGCTAGTTTTGAATATTTTGGATAATCTTTTCTAAGTATTTTATCTGACTAGAAGAGCTTTCTTAAGAAGCTAGTATAAAGTAATTTTCGAAACTCTTCTAATATGAAACAATAGCAGGAACTTTGCCAAAAGTAGAAACACTGTTGAAGTTCTTCTACATGAAGCAAACAGACTCTTAAGTCAGATTTATCTAAAAACTTTTCTGATTAGATACACTTCGAAAAACTTATCTAAACATATTGGAAAATAGCTTTTAGTTTTTCAAAAGCCAACCTAAGAGACATTAATGCCATGTTTGATTGGCATTGAATTCCATGGAAAATCAAATTCCATTTTCCACAATTCAAGGTGTTTGATTGACAAAATTTTGCCACCCAAATGTTTTCCATGTTTGAACCCACGAGCTCCTTTCTCCATGCAATTGATGAAAAGGTTTTCCAGATTTCTGAATTCCAGATTTCTGAATTTTTTTTTTTTAATAATGGAAACAAATTTCATAATCAATTGTAAAAAAAAAAAATATTTCTATTTAATGGACAATTTTCATGTAAAATAAAGTCAAACGAACACTAAACTTTGATTAAAAAAAAAGATTTTTTAGGAAACATTTTTTTTTCCTTTTTTTATTTTTTACTTTTTGGCAATGGAAACAAATTTTATAATCAATTGTAGAAAAAATTATCATTTTAATGGATAATTTTCATATAAAATAAAGCCAAACGAATAGAAAATTTAAAAATTTTTTGGGTGGAAAATTATACCAATCAAAGACTCTTGAATTGATTTTCCCTGCAAAACATTTT